AGGAGAGATGAGATGAGCAGGAGGAGAGGGAGGACGAGAACGGAGACGGATGCGAAGGGGGAGGCGGATGAGGTGGTGGGGAGGAGAGGAGGAGGAAGAGGAGAGATGCGATGAGCAGGAGGAGAGGGAGGAATGAGAACGGAGAGGAGTGCGAAGAGGGTGGCGGAGGAGGTGGTGTAGGGGAAGGAGGAGGAGGAGAGGAGAAGGAGAGGGGGTAGGAAGGAGGAGGAGGAGGGGAGGAGGATAGGAGGCGAGGAAGAGGAGAGCTGAGGTGGCCGGACGGGAGAGGAGGGAGAACGGATTACGGATTCGAAGAAGGAGGGGATGAGGTGGGTGGGTGGAGAGGAGGAAGAGAGGAGAGATGAGATGAGCAGGAGAGAGGGAGGAAGAGAACGGAGACGGATGCGAAGGGGGAGGCGGATGAGGTGGCAAGGGGGAGCGGATGAGGAGGAGGAGGAGGAGGAGGAAGAGGAGAGATGAGATGAGCAGGGGGAGAAGGGGGAAGGAAACAGAGACGGATGCGGAGGGGGAGGCGGATGAGGTGGTGGGGAGAAGGGGAGGGGGAAGAGGAGAGATGAGATGAGCAGGCGGAAAGGGAGGAAGAGAACGGAGACGGATGAGAAGGGGGAGGCGGATGTGGTGGTGGGGGGAGGGGAGCAGGAGGAGGAGTAAGAGGAGAGATGAGATGAGCAGGAGGAGAGGGATGAAGCGAACGGAGGCGGATGCAAAGGGGGAGGCGGATGAGGTGGTGGGGAGGAGAGGAGGAGGAGAATGAGGAGGAGGAGGAGGAGGAGGAGGCGGAGAGATGGTATGAGCAGGAGGAGAGGGAGGACGAGAACGGAGACGGATGCGAAGGAGGAGGCGGATGAGGTTGTGGGGAGGAGAAGTGAAGGGAAGGAAAGAGCAGAGATGAGATGAGCAGGAGGAGAGGGAGGAAGAGAACGGAGACGGTATGCGAAGGGGGAGGCGGAAGAGGTGGTGGGGAGAAGGGGAGGAAGACGAGGAGAGATGAGATGAGCAGGAGGAGAGAGAGAGGAAGAGAACGGAGACGGATGCGAATGGGGAGGCCGATGAGGTGGTGACGAGGAGAGGAAGAGGAAGGCGAAGAGGAGAGATGAGATGAGCAGGAGGAGAGGGAGGAAGAGAACGGAGACGGATGCAAAGGGGGAGGCCGATGAGGTGGTGACGAGGAGAGGAGGAGGAGGAAAAAGAAAAGGAGAGATGAGATGAGCAGGAGGAGAGGGAGGATGAGACGGACACGGCCAAAGCCCCGGAGGCGGATGAGGTTGGTGGGAGCGAAGAGGAGGGGGATGAGGAGATATGAGATGAAAGGTAGGAGAGGAGGGAAGGGCCGATTAAACGGATGCGAAGGCGGAGGCGGATGAGGTGGTGGGGAGGAGGGGAGGAGGAAGAGGAAGAGGAGAGATGATATGAGCAAGAGAGGGAGGACGCGAGCGGAGACGGATGCAAAGGGGGAGGCGATGAGGTGGTGGGGAGGAGATGAGGAGGAAGACGAGGAGAGATGAGATGAGCAGGAGGAGAGGGAGGATGAGAACGGAGACGGATGCGAAGGTGGAAGCGGATGAGGTTTTGGGGAGGAGAGAAGGAGGAGGAAGAGGAGGGGAGGAGGAGGAGGAGGAGGAAGCGGAGGAGAGATGAGATGAGCAGGAGGAGAGGGAGGAAGAGAACGGAGACGGATGCGAAGGGGGCGGATGAGGTGGTGGGGATGAGAGGAGGAAGAAGAGGAGAGATGATATGAGCAGGAGAGGAAGGAAGAGAACGGAGACGGATGCGAAGGGGGAGGCGGATGAGGTGGTGGGTGGAGAGGAGGAAGGACGAGGACAGATGAGATGAGCGGAGGAGGGGAGGAAGAGAACGGAGACGGAATGCGGAAGGGGGAGGCGGATGAGGTGGTGGGGAAGAGAGAGAGGAGGAGGAGGAGGAGGAGGAGGAGGAGGAGGAGGAGGAGGAGGTGGAGTAGGAGGAGGAGGAGAGATGAGATGAGCAGGAAGGTGAGGAAGAGAACGGAGACGGATACAAAGGGGGAGGCGGATGAGGTGGTGGGGAGGAGAGGAGGAAGACGCGGAGAGATGAGATGAGCAGGAGAGGGAGGAAGAGAACGGAGACGGATGCAAAGGGGGTGGCCGATGAGGTGGTGCGGAGGAGGAGGAGGAGGAAGCGGAGAGATGATATGAGCAGGAGGAGAGGCAGGAAGAGAACGGAGACGGATGCGAAGGGGGAGGCGGATGAGGTGGTGGGGAGGAGGGGAGGGGAGTGAGGAGGAAGCCGGGGAAAGGGATGCGCACCTAGAGGAAGGGACGGAGCAATGACAACCGGGGGGAGGAAGGAAGAAGGGAAGCAACAGAGGAGGCGTACGAAGAGGAGGAGGAAGCCACGCGACACACATCACGTCGATTTTGGTCGCCCTGGGCACCAGCGTTGCCGTCTCGGTCCATGCCTCGCGGGTGTCCACAACGGGGGTGCCCTCCCTGTTCAGGGGGCTGGGCAGGAACGGGAACGGGAGCGGAAGGATGCAGAGGAGGAGAGGGGTGGGGCAAACTGGGTGAGATCGCGCCATAGTTGACATCCCCCCCCCTCCCCCCACCCATCCCTCCCCATTGCGCTGATCTTTTCTCCATCTGCCGACGTGTGCCATACAGTCAACCAGTATAGTAAGGATGCGCGATAAGGATGCAAAGGGCCTTGGACGCCCATCTCGAAGCTTTTCGAGCGGGGCGGGGCCAGCGAACGCGGCGAAGGATGGGCCGAGGAGGCAAATATGCAAGGGTACCCTTGGGAAGGTTGCCCATCCTTGCTATGCGGGTTGACTGTAGCGGACCTGCAATTCCCCAAACGGACCCTCTCGTGTCATGCGCAATGAGAAAATGTGAGCTCCGTAAATTGACGGAGGCGGTGGCGGATGAGCAGGAGGAAAAGGAGAAGGACGAGGAAGCAGGAGGAATAACAGCAACAGCAGCTGGAGAAAAAGGGGCGGGAGGAGCAAGAGGACCAGGGCAAGGCGGAGGAGGGGAAAGGAGGGGGGCGACAACGATGAAAGACTCGGATCCAGAAAAGTGGCCCGCGCTCAGGCGAGAGCGCCAGTATGGACGATGGAATCACAGCACGCTGCAGCGGAACCACCATTTTGATGCTCCGAAGTCGTTCCAATTGGGAAACAGCATCGGGAAGGCACACATTCGATATCCAGTGTCGAAAGCAGTACGGGGAGGTGAGTGGGTCACTCCGCCATCCTCGGGCGAGATCGGGAAGTAGTCTTCACATTGCGCACTTGTGAAGGAGGGGGGGGCACGATGGGAGGGAGGGGGGGGGAAAGGGGATGGGGCGGAGGAACAGGGTGGGGCCTTGGCCTTTCAGAGCTGACCTGCTCTTGGAACGACCAGCGGCGGCTGATTTCGGGCCCCGCGCGCCTGTAAAACGAGCCTAGCTTGTAAGTTGTCCTGCGCCTAAGACTTGACGGAGGAGGAAGAGGAGAAGGAGGAGAAGGAAGAGGAGGAAGAGGAGGAGGAGGAAGAGTAGAAGGAGGAGGGGAGGGAGGAGGAGGAGGAGGAGGAGGAGGAGGAGGAGGAGGAGGAGGAGGACCAGGGGAAACCCAAGAGTCACCACCGATGTTGGAATTAACCCTCCCTCCAAACCCCCTCTTCATATGCCACCTACAACGGTTCATTTCCAGTAAGGGAACCGCCTCGCTGGAGGGACAACAATTTGACACATAACTGCTGCGCCCGCATAATCCGGAATCCTTTGAACACACCATTTCTGGTACGCTGATCACGGGTAGAAGGAAGTTAGGATGGGGGATTTCCTTGCCCCCCCCTGTTTGCTATTTTTTTTTAATCTCGTTCGGTTTGGTTGTGTGAGCGGGCGACACGGAGTGTGGGGGTGGGGGGGGGGGGGGGGGTAGTGGTGTTTGTGGTTTGGGGGTTTGTGAAAGATTCACATGTCGACAACGACCCGCCCCTCCCGCAACCTGGTTTGAAACCCATGTGGCAAAGTTTATAAAACGATATGTGCGCGGCGGGCGTTCTATAGGGCTAAGAACCACATGTTGGAAATGGCCCCCCCCCCGACCTTCAATCCGTACACTCTTGCACATTGTGAAGCGAATGCGGCGCGGGCGCTTAAAGCCAAGAAACAACATTTTGAAAACCGACCCGCCCTCAACCCGGAAACTTCTTTGCAAAATGTCTAAAAACGAGTGCGCGCGGCGCTTTAAGGCGAAGGAACCACATGTTGGAAACGGCCCGCCCTCAATCCGTAAAACTCTTGCACATGTGTGAAGCGAATGTGCGATGCGCTAAAGCAAGAACAACATTTTGAAAACGACCCGCCCTCAATCCGTGAAGCTCTTGCAAATGTTTAAAACGAATGCGTGCGGCGCTAAGGCGAGAACCACATGTTTAAAACCACCCACCCTCAACCCGTGAAGCTCTTGTAACTGGTTAAAGCGAATGTGCGCGGCGCTGGGGCAAGAGCCGCATGTTGAGAACCGCCCGCCCTCCATCTGCGAAATTGTTGCCACTCTTGAAGCTTGAGAATCATAAATGGTGGGGGGTAAACACTAGCCTCGGGGTGCGACAGGGAGGAGTCATCTATACGTAAGGAGAAGGAGTGGAGGAGGCGGAGGAGGAGGTGGAGGAAGAGAAGGAGGAGGAGAAGGAGGGAGGAGGAGGAGGGGGGCGCGGGAGAGGGGGAGGATGGATGGGAGGGGGGAGGGGGAAGAAGTGGGGAGGAGGAGGAGAACGGGGGGGAGGAGGGGGGGAGGAGGTTGGAGGAGGAGGAGGAGGAGTGGAGGAGGAGGAGGAGGAGGAGGAGGAGGAGGAGGAGGGAGGAGGAGGGGAAGATGAACGAGGAGGAGGAGGAGGAGCAAGGAAGGAGGAGGATGTGGAGGAGCAAAAAGGAGGAGGAGAGGAGGAAATGGGAGGTGGAGGAGGAGGAGGACGGGAGGGGAGATACGAGGAGGAGGAGGAGGATGGGAGGAGGTGGAAGGAGAGAAGCGAGGAGGAGGAAAAAAGAGGAGGAGGAGGATAAGGAAGAGGAGGAGGGGGGGAGGAGGAGGAGATGGAGGAGCAGAACGAGGAGGCGGGGAACGGGCAGGAGGAGGAGAAGGATGAGGAAGAGGAGGAGGTGGACGAAGTGGAGAAGGCGCCTGTAAAACGAGCCTAGCTTGTAAGTTGCCCTGCGCCTAAGACTTGACGGAGGAGGAGGAGGAGGAAGAGGAGAAGGAAGAGGAGGAAGAGGAGGAGGAGGAGGAGAAGCAGAAGGAGGAGGAGGAGGAGGAGGAGGAGGAGGAGCGGAGAAGCAGAAGAAGGAGGAGAGAGGAGGAAGGAGGAGGTGGAGGAGGAGGAGGGGAGGAAGGAGTGGGGAGGGTGGAGAAAGGCGGTCGGCAGCAGGAGGAAGCGGAGGAGGAGGTGAAGGAGGAGGAAGAGGAGGAGGTGGACGAAGTGGAGAAGGCGCCTATAAAACGAGCCTAGCTTGTAAGTTGCCCTGCGCCTAAGACTTGACGGAGGAGGACGAGGAGGAAGAGGAGAAGGAAGAGGAGGAAGAGGAGGAGGAGGAGGAGGAGAAGCAGAAGAAGGAGAAGGAGGAGGATGAGGATGAGGAGGAGGAGCGGGAGGAGGAGAAGCAGCAGGAGGAAGCGGAGGAGGAGGAGGGGAGGATATGGATGAAGAAATGGAGACAGCTGAGGAGGAGGACGAGGGGGGAGGAGGACGAGAAGGAGTCATGCGTCGCTCAGGCGGCTGAGACGGGGGAAGAGGAGGAGGAGGAGCAGGAGGAGGAGATAAGGGTGACGAGGAGAAGGATGAGGAGGAGAAGGAGAATTAGCAGGAGGATGGGAATCAAAAACATGGTGGTGATGCGTTTTGATGATGTTGCTGATGATGATGCAAATGAGATGGCGATGAAGATGTCTATGGTGAAACTGGTGACGATAGTGATGATGGTGAGGCTGATGTTGGAGATGATGCTGATGATGGTGTGCACGCTGATGCTGCTGATGATGATGCTGACGGTGATGATGATGATTACGATGGCTATGACGATGACGATGATGTTGATGATGACGAGTGTGATGCTGGTGATTATGGTGACGACGGATACGATAGTGATGTTGACCTTGACGATGATGATGATAACGGTGATGTTGCTGATGATGATGACTGTGCTGTTGATGATGATGGTGGTATCGATGCTACTGCGGTTGATGATGATGCGTACGATGCTGGTGGTGGTGATGATGGTAATGATGGTGCTGCTGCCGATGATGGTGCTGCTGCTAATGAGGATGATGAGTTGCGAGTTGCAAGCTGTCCCGCGTGGTGGTCTAAACGACCTACGAGCGGCGTTGCTGCCCAGCCTTGCTGAGCAGTTTGGGCCACTTCCCCTCATGAAGCCTGGTCAAATACTCACGGCGATGGGGAGCGATATGCTTGGATCACTCCTTAGCCAGCTCCCGCATCTGCGAATGTGCGAAGTGGCCACACTGAGTACAAGACCATAACTCTTGCGATCTGGACAGACGCATCCTATGGCGCCCCTCGGGCCAGCCCCCAGCGATATGAAGCCGCCCCCCTCAAGTATTGCAGCAGATCTTTCACGCGCGTGAACGGGCTGAAAGCAATAGGGAGGGAGCCATTCGGGCGCTTTAGACTTGCTGGCAGATCCCCAACGTCTAGCGCACCTACGCCTGGACTCGTCAAGCTGATGCTGCGAGACGAGGGCACGAACGATCGAAGGAGGGAGAGGAGGGGGGGGGGGAGAGGAGGGGGAGGACCACTCACCCTCGCGCGCGCGGGTCCGCCACGCTCCTCGGCGTCAATCACGTCGAGGGTGGCTCGGAGGGGCCTCGTCCTGACGTGCGTGGCCTTCCTCTCGATCTGGTAGACGGCCGTGCGAATCTCGTCGGCCACTCTCCAAGTCTCGGCCGCCTGGGCGGCCAACTCATCCACGCGTGTATTTCCGACGGCAAGCCAGACAGGGGCCTCCGAGGCGACAACTTGCTCTCCTGACAGGTGCGAGCTCACGAACAGAACCGAAACGTGGCCCAATCGGGCCCCAAGCTCACCACCTATTTTGTGCCACAGGTCCTCATGGACCCCTGCGGGCCGCACGTGAAGTCGTTCGTGAAAGCCCTTGGTCACGCAGCGCAACCAGTGACATATATATATATATATATATATATACATATATATATACTAAATGCTCGGCCGCGCACGCGAGGGCAAACAAAAAGGCCCGCAGCTGTCCGCGAGGCGCGGACTGTTCATCCCCAATCAGGGGCCCTTCCACCGCAGCCCGAATGCAACGCGGATCGTACGAGCTCAAAATGGCAATGGCCAGACCGACCCGTCGGAACCTGGGGCCCCCTGAATCTTTCCCTCCAGAAGCGTCTCCGAATACTACTATAGGTTGCGCGCCCGTGCCTCTACCCAGACAATG